GACGCGTTAGGATCTCGGTTAAGACCTCGGGTGTGCTCGATGGTTACATCGCCCTTCCCCCTTCCTATACGAGGCGTAGTTAGGTTTGCATTTTCTTACATCCTTTCTACGTGAGACGTAGGTTGGTTTGTGCTTTCTTTGTGCTTTTCACGTGAGGTGTGCCTGTTTATTTCCTTCTTTCTGTGTGAAACATGGCGAGGTTTATTTTGCTTTGATTTGCATTTTCATTCAAATGTTGCATTCTTGTCTAGATCGTAGAATTGTTTCATTGCTTCATTTACAGTATGTTTCATTGCATTGCTTCATTGCATGATCATAAGTTATTTGTTGCATTTCATGTTGTATTTTGCCCCCGAGTTCAATTTTTGCATTTATGTCTTGATATCTTGCCCGAGCCTTGCGGCCTTGTCAAATGGGTTGTCTCTAGGCTTTGACATTCACTTATGTCATGTTTTGAGTTTGAGCACTATCAAAGAGGGGCAACTATGGACACCCCAGTTTTGACTGCCCGCAAGGCTCGAGCGCTTTGTCCGGTACACTCGATGCTGAAAGTGGTATTGTGCGTGGTTCGAGGTCTCAATGAAAGAGCCTTGTTTAAGCTTTGAAACAACCCCAAACCTTCCATATTTCCATTGATTATACCCAAGAAATTCTTTTTTACACCTTGTGCCATCCTTTGTTGAGGTTGAAGCAAAAAAACAAGGGAACACATTAAGGCCGGGCCGTGCCTCAGTGAGCTCCGGTCGTGGCTATTGAAGGCCGGCCAGGCCTTTGGTAGTGAGAAACACTGTTCTGGGTGGGAGGCCGCCAGTTGTCCATTTTTTAAGATATTTATGATATTTCTGGCTCAAATTCTATAAAAACGACCATATATCTCTGTTTTAAGGGTTAAAGAATTTCAAGAAAGCCTCTATACTACCTTGAGAGCTATCTCTTCTCCTTCTTCTTGTGCAAGCAACACTTTGAGCTAACCTATCACCTTGAACCTATATCCATACAACATATACACCATCACACCTTAGCTTAGGAACCTTAGTTGAGCCTTGAACACCATAATTCAAACTTGAGAGTGTGTTGAGACTTAGCTTGGTTCATAATCAAAAGCTTATTTCCTTGAGAGGTACAAGCTTGTTATCCTATCTTTTACTTCTTGTTCTTCCATTTGCTACCTAGTTTTTATTATTTTGTGTTGTTTTGATCTTAATCTAAGTGTTTAAGTTTAGGTTTGAAGAGCAACCAAAACGGTAGAGAGAGTTTACTCTTTCTACACCTTTACCTATAGCTCAAGCTCTTACTTTTACACTCCTTTTCTTTGCTCTCTAAACTAATTTTCAGAGTTAAAAAAAGGACTAAAAATAATGCTTTGAGGTTTCAAAAGTGGAGGGGTTGGCCACCCCTCCTTGTTCTTGCTTACTAGTCTTGTTTTCTCTCTTTGTTGATTAGCTTTTTAGGCTCTTTCCATGCATTCTAAGCCACTGTTTTTCATCCCTTGAGGGCTGTTTTGGAGTTGTCTTTAGTTTTTTAAATAGTTCATGCTTTGATTAGCTTGGTTGTTGTCTCATAAGTTTGTGTACATAGCTTGTAGTATATTGTTCTAAGATTTTCTTTAACAACTTCCATGTTTAAGAACCTCATTTTAATAATCAATTTTCCATTCATCTCTTTCATTTGAGAGTTGTTTTAATCGGTTAACGGTTATTCAAAATGTGAACTAGCGATTTACGCTTAACGGCTTAATCTCTACAGAGGTTCATTGCCAACGGTGTAGTCTCTCTTTCATGTTGGGAATCACCTCTCGATTGACATACTTCTCACTTAGTGGACATAATCTCTACTGGATGTAACAATCATCTTGGACTTAACAGATTAAAGGATGGTAAAGACTAATGAATTGGCTTAAAATGAACCAACTCACATAAAGAAAATGAGTTATATTGCTTGAGGTTTGACCAGACATTATGCCGAATCTGTTGTGTCAAGGGTCGTCTTACATCAATTCATGATGTTTTGGATGAACGTTGAAGCATCTCTACCTCCTTCTTTGAGTTCACTCCATGATAGAAGAGAGGGGTGGTTGTTGTTCCTTTCATTAATTGATTTTTTGTCCAAATTGTACATTGAAATCATCAAGCAATCAATTTTCTCATTGATGGTTTTGGAAACAATTCTAACCTTCTGTCGAGGCTTTCCCATGATAGAGAAGCGTGAGAGGGACAAACAGAGCCCAGAACACTCTGTCTGTACTGTTTTCACTTTAGAGCACAAAATAGAATTTTGCATGAAATTGAGGCATGGCTAGCCTTCTGTAGGCCTGGCTGGCCTTCATTGAGGGCTAGCCGAGAATCAATGCTTGGTCAACAGTTTATTTTGCAGAAAATAGAAGGCAGTGGCTGAAGGTGAAACAGAGCAAGCTGAGGCAGACAGTGCTGTTCTAGGACCTTGTGTATGCAACTCTTGTGCATTAATGCTCCATGCATTGTTATCATTACTTTATGTATTAGTCTTGTTAATTATTAATGTTTATTTGTAATTTTATAGCTAGTTAGCTTAGATAGTTAATTTTACTTATCATGGTTATCCTTGTTGTAATAGCCTAGTTAGCTAGTTAATTCTTTAATTTATTCATTCGATTTTGTAATAATTAGTTTAATTTGGACTTTCGGACTTTAATCCACACCCTCTTGCACGAGGGCAACTATGTAATAAGCTGTATGTCTTCCAACCCCACGTCTTTCTCTCTTTTATTTACTTGCTCATGATGGTTAGTATAGGAACATCATTTTCCAAATAGCATTCTTATGCTTTGCATACATTGTCTTGCATGCATCCAAGACTCAGCTCATTATGCTAACCCAATATCAATGTTTAAATTCATTACTTGAAAACGTGTTTTATCGCATGTCTTGAATGAAATCACATGCCATGCTCATAGCTGAGCCTATAAAATTACATATCGTGTGCGTTGCATTAGTCATATTGCATTAATTAGGAGCACACATATTTTTCCTAATTATTTTGCCTTGTTTTGGCTCAGAGTACTAAGTGAGTAATTTTCTGTTTTAGCATCTTGAATCAAATGTTTGTGTTGCCATGTCTAGCATATTTCCATGAGACAAATTGCTTAAAGGATGTAACTGTTTGAATGCCTATGGATGAAAGCTAGTTGCCTGAATTGGGATAGTTTGATTAATGTCCATTTTAAGCCCACTTTTTCGAGTGGCAAATTCCCAAAACGATTTTGATACAAAACATGAAATCAAATATTCCAACTCGTGCAAATTAGTCTATACTTGTGTGCGTCATATAGTAAAAATAGCTAATAAAAACCGGAACAAGAGCATATAATATAAATAAAAATCACATCATGATTAGTAAAGACTGATCTTTGATCGGACGAGTGGTGTGCTCAATTCATGACCTTCCCCTCTCGTACCTAAGTTCCTGAGCCGAGACACTTTGGTGACGGATAAGTGGCCTTTGGCACAAGTCTCGGGTTTCCTAAATTTCCTAAAGATATTTAGGCGGCGACTATGAAATCTGGCATAGCAGTCCATTTTTTGTATTTGATTCAAATATCGATTTTTCCAAAAAATTACCGGATTTGGACTCTTTTGTGTTTTCACTATTTCACATTGCACTTTGTGAAATCAAATTCAAAACCACATGGGAGTCCGAACTGTAGGGCTATTCATCTTCCGAAAGGGGACACGAAAAGTAGAGCTACCGGTAACACCTATAAGCACATAGCAGAGTGAGAGATATTATGCCAAGAGCATAAGGCATAAAGTAACCATGGATAGTTATTTAAACTAAAACATTAAACATAACTTAATTTGAATAAACAAATTATTTAAGTGGCAGAAACTAAAATCCAAAAATTATATAGGTAAATAACCATAACCATAATATAGAACAGAACAAAACAGAGGTCACTGGAGTGACAATCAAAACAAAGGTCAATGGATCCATGACAAACAGAAGACCTCAAAGTAACCAATCAGAGGCTAATGGTTATATAAGTCAGCCAAAACATAGGACTCCTGTGGTGGTACTTACCAAAAATAGATATTTATATAATCATTGTTAAATAATTTCTAAAATTTAAAAAAACATATCCATGGGTTTCAATTTAAGAAAATGGAGTTCAGAAAATAATTAACGTACTTGAAATCTAAATATAAGTTATAAAACATAACTTGTATAAAATAAATTATGGTAATTCAAAACATACGTAAAATATGTTATGGTAACTCAATTTATAATATAACTCACTTTAATATTGATTCCTTACTATTTATTTTCTTTTTATGCTGCCTTCTAAAGCCCTTTTTTCCTTTCCCTTCTATTTTTTTCTTCTCTTTTCTTTTTTATTTTTTTGTTTTTTTTTCTTTCCGTCCTTACTAACTTCACAGCGCCCCCCCCCCCTTACATTCACATGGCCTGCGTGATGACTAATCCTGCATTAATGCCCCTAAATTGATAAATCACCTCCCCCTAGTCCTAGACAGCACAGATGGCTTAGGTTTCACTCGTCCAGCAAATTGCACACGTTTCTTTGAATTCCTTATAGCCCCTAATTTTTCTCCAATTTAATTGTTGTGTTCATTTGGCCCCCAAGTAATATATTAATCATATTTTTTGATATATCAGTGCCCAATTAAATTACATTTTAGCACGTATAATTATGTGATCAGATATATTTATTATTATTATTGTTATTATTATTATTATTATTATATTATTATTATTATGCAATTAGATATATTTTTTATTTTTGTTTTCTTTTTAAATTTGGTATTAACGTGGTGCAAATTAACATTTGGGGTGTCACATTTCTCCCTTCCTAAATAGAAGTTTGTTCCCAAACTTAATGTACCTTGTTTTTCGAAGAGGTGTGGGTATTTGGCTCGCATTGGACTCTCCGCTTCCCACAAAGCTTCTTTGACTCGATGATTTCTCCATAAGACATTTACAAGAGGTATAGTCTTGTTTTAGAGAACCTAATCGCGTCGATCGATAATCTGCACTGGCTGTTCTTCATAAGAGAGATCCTCTTGAACTTCTAGATTCTCATAATCGATAACATGCTCTAGATCTCGAACATACTATTGAAGCATCGAAACGTGAAACACATTGTGGACATTGGACAGTTCAGGTAGCAGTGCAAGGTGATATACCACAGAACCGATCATTTCTAGTATCTCAAATGGCCCAATGTAACGTAGGTTTAATTTTCCTCGCTTTCCAAATCGGATAACCCCTCTTGTTGGTAAGAACTTTAGGAAAACATGATCTCTTATTTGGAATTCCAATTCCCGTCTTCGTGTATCTGCATAGTTTTTCTGGCGACTCTGAGCAGCGCGAATTCGCTGCTGGATGAGTTGGATTTTATCACTTGTGATTTTCACAATCTCGGGACCTAACAGTTTCCTGTCTTCGACTTCCGTCCAACACAGAGGTGATCGACATCTCATTTCATACAGTGCTTCATATGGTGCCATTCCAATGCTTGCTTGGTAACTGTTGTTATAGGCAAATTCCACTAAAGATATGTGATCATCCCAATTACCCTTGAGGTCTAGCATGCAAACACGTAGCATATCCTCCAAAGTCTAGATTGTTCTTTTGAATTGTCCATCAGTTTACGAGTGATAAGCAGTGCTAAACTTCAATGTTGTTTCCAAAGCTTCTTGCGATTTGTTCCCGAAGTGAGATACGAAGTGGGGATCTTGGTCAGACACGATCAAAACTGGGGTACTATGCAATCAAATGATTTTCTTGATGTATAATATGGCAAACTTATTTAGGGAAATTTTGATTGGTAGAAAATGCGCCGACTTTGTCAATCGGTCTACTATAACCCATATTGCATCATTCTTCGAGACTAATTGTTATAGCCCGACCACGAAGTCCATAGTAATGTGCTCCTATTTCCATTCAAGAATATGGAGTGGTTGCAACGTTCCTGCAGGTCTCTGATATTTTTTTGATATATCAGTGCCCAATTAAATTACATTTTAGCACATATAATTATGTAATCAGATATTATTATCATTATTATTATGCAATCAAATATATTTATTATTTTTGTTTTCTTTTTAAATTTGGTGTGGTGCTAATTAACATTTGGGGTGTCATAGATATGGGACAATAGTTGAAGGGAATAAAATGTCTTACATGCAAACGTTTTCTCTTATGCCAGCGATTTCGATAATCTAAAAATATGATTGGGTAAATTATCAACAAGTCCTACTTTGCGACTTTACCTATTAAGTTCTATTGATAAATTTATCAAATGATAAACTCTTGTTTAATGAATAAATTTACAGTGATAAATCATTCAACATAATATTTTTGCATAATACACGTACGTTGTTTTACTTCTTCTTCTTCTTCTTCTTCTTATTTTTTTATTTTTTATTTTTTAAGTTTGACCAAATCATATCAAAATTTTACTTAAGAGTAATTTCCACTTATCATCCATGCACTTTACATTTAGTCTCACTTTGTTCAATGACCTTTAAAAAGTGACCGTCAACACCTCACATATTTGGTCAAGTTTCAATTCAACTCATCTGTTAAGACACGTTAAATCAAGCAAACGTAAAAAGCAACACGTGAAATTCACGTGGCAACTTTCAAGACAATACAATAAAGTGGAAATTACACTTAACACCTTACACTTTACACTTAGTCTCACTTTGTCCCATAATCTTTAAAAAAGTGATGATAAACACCTCACACTTTTGGTCAAATTCTAAATCAACCCATTTGTTAACCAATGTTAAATAAGGCAAATGGAAAAGTAGGCACCTTATTTAACGTGGGTTAATAGATGAGTTGAATAAAAACTTGACCAAAAATGTGAGGGGTTGATTATCAACTTTTAAAAGCCAGAGGACAAAGTGAAAATAGGTACAGAGATGCTGAATGTAATTTGCTCTTCTATTTATCAACTTATGTATGTAGCTCATAACCATCTATATTCAACCTGTTGGGAATTGGATAGGATCTGACCCGATTCATATCCCATAGAGTGTCCACATGGGTTATGAGATTATTATCATATAATAATAATAAGATACTTACTTTATTATCTTTAGTTATTTGAATTATATGATAAGATAATTATTTAATTATCTATAAGAGATTTTTATTGAGTGTGGATCTCTATTTACATATCTCTATATATCAGATATGAAGAAAAGAAATATATGTGTGTTGTGTGGTAGTTTACCCCTAAGAGATCACTCAAAACTTGTTTCTCTGTCTGTTTATCTCTCCATGGTCACCATTTTTGTACCTTGGAATTTGGAGTATGTGTTCCATAAGGGAGGCTCTAGTGACCTCTCTGCTGACATGGAGTTTGTAACAAGAAGGGCTCGTATTTTAAGCTTTCGAATCTTACTGCGTAGGTATTTTTTCGCCTAAGGTAACCCATATTTTTTCTTACAGTGGTATCAGAGCCTATTGCTTGTTTTCGCCTCTTGATTAGTATGGCATTGATTTGTTTATTGCTTATACCATTAGATTGATGCATCTTTAAAATTGTGTTATATTATGGCATATTCAAAGATTTTTTTTTTGGATAATTCACATACAACAGATTTTTTGTACTCAAAAAGAGAAAATAGGATTTCATTTTTTGTTAATGAAATTGACATATTTAGATTGTACTCTCCATAGTCTTTTCATTGATATAAAATAGGCTTTAATTAGAGTTAAATCGAAAAAAAATAAAAATTCAAAATTTTTTGAGTTAAATATGTATTTTTTGAACAGTTTAAGCAGAATTTTTTTTTTTTTGAATATTGCTATTGCAACTTTTGCATGCCTGGCTGAGAGTAGCGTGGGACTCGCAGCTCAAACATACGTTCTGCTCCCAAAACAACAAGGTTGTAGTGTAAACAAAGAGCTTGCTAATTGCTATGTTGGGCCAAGTTTAGTATCTTAAGCTAGGCAGATGGATCATTGGTCCAACCCAAAAAATGTTGGGCATGTTGTTGCTAATTTCTATAAATAAAAAAAATTTTAAATTAAGTTTTTTTCTTTTAAAAAAAAAATTGAATAACGTGAGAGGGTTGTGCTCAGGAAAGTCCCTGGGCCTCTTTCCGTAGAGTTGCGACTTGGAAATGAATGGGCTATATATATATTTAGCAAAATTAATTTTTTGATTTATTATATTATTGTCATAAAAAAAATCAATTAAATTGTCGTGAACTGGTTTAAGAGGGATAGGAGTGCGTGCTTTACCTTGTTGAGTTGCATGCATGATGACCTCATTAGGGAATTTGGGAAATTCCCAATTGCTAAAGAAATGTGCGATCAATTACGCTTGAAGTATGGAGGCAAGACAATAACTAGGCTATGTGCTCTTACATTGAAGTTCAATCAATATGTGGTGGACCCAAAACATACTATGACTGAGCACCTTAGGGTGATGTCTGCCATGATTAGAGAAATGAAGGCAATTGGCAATGATATCACTAATGAGCAACATATTTTGTCAATTATCAGATCCCTACCTAACCCTTCATGGGGACATGTGAAATTGGTGCTCACACACAATGAGGGAATCAAAACTTTTAATGACATTTCTCAACATCTTGAGCTCGAGGCAAAGCACAAAGATACGAATCGTTCTGCTACACTTATCGCTAAAGCTGGAAAGCACATGGGATACAAGCCTTAGCACAAAGGACAACAAAAGGAGCTAGACAAGTAAAGGCCAAGAATCTAGCACCAAGAGATGGCAGAGTAACTATGCATCGTAGAGGCAAGCGTGTTAGAAAGAATGATAAGTCCAAACTCAAATGCTATAACTGTGGACAAAAAGGCCACTTCGCTCAAGAGTGTACTAAGCCGAAAAAGGTACATCTTATTACTAGCTCTCTAAATATATTTGTTTGTTCGCATGTTTTTATTGCTCACTCTCTCCTTGGTTGGATTATAGACACAGGAGCAACCAAACATGTAGCTAGAGATTGGGCTAGATTTGTAGATTATCTTCAGATACCAGTTGGTAGGAATTATGTAATAATGGAAAATGGAGCTCAAGAAGAAGTCTTAGGAGTTGGTACATTTCAGATCAAGTTGTGTATTGGGTGCAACTGGCTCCTTTATGATGTGCTTCATGCACCCACTATTCAACGTAATCTGCTTTTAGTTTCAGCAATTTTGAAGTTAAGTTTTTCTTTTCATTTTGAGGACATTAGTTTGTCAATTTATCTTGGTAGAACATTTTGTGGTCATGGTAGTTTGAGGGATGATTTCTTTATGTTAGATTTAGAATCTGAATTGAATAATAATTCCCTTATTTGTGTTGCATCTTCTTCTTCTTCTTCTTCTTCTTCTTCTGATAATGTATCCGATTCCATTGGATGGCATGCAAGACTAGGCCATATAGGACAAGAAAGAATGGCTAGATTGGCTAGAGGAGGACTATTAGGCTCTCTCGCCAAAGTTAGCCTACCTATATGTGAGCCTTGTTTGAAAAGCATGTAAAAAGCCTTTTGGTAAGGCTTCTAGAGCTACTCATTTGTTAGAGTTAGTCCATTCTGACATTTGCGAACCAATGAATGTCAAGGCACGACATGGCGCATCCTATTTTATAACATTTATAGATGATTTCTCGTGTTTCGGCACAATATTTCTTTTGGCTCACCACTCTAAAGCTTTGAATTATTTCAAACACTTTGTAGCAGAGGTTGAGAATCAGCAACAAAGGAACTTGAAGGTTCTTCGAACTGATAGGGGTCGAGAATATTTGTCTGATCAGTTCAAAGAATTATGCGAGGAAAAAGGGTTACGTAGACAATTGTCAATTCTTGGTACTCCATAACAAAATGGTATGCAGAAAGAAGGAATCGCACTCTTTTAGACATGGTTAGGTTGATGATGGAAAAAGTTAATCTTCCAATAAGTTACTAAGGAGATGCTTTAATGACTGTGGCTTACGTCCTTAACAGAGTGCCTTCAAAGTCAATTCCCACCACTTTATATGAGTTATCGAACGATGAAAAACCTAATTTAGAAGGTTTACACCTATGGGGATCAGTTGGATATTGTACGGGGAGCAAATGTTCAGGCAAGCCCGCACTTCTTTCTTCCAAGCTCCTGCCTGTCCGATCGACCTGCGAGCACAACGGCGGTGAGCTACCCGGCAGTGTGTGGCCGAAAAACCCCTCCGACGATCAAGTTAGACACACACACAGGAATAGAGAGAGAGAGAGAGAGAGAGAGAGGACTGAGTTATGTTTAGTGTTTTTCTCACCAAATTGTGTTATCTGCCAAGCATGGGGGGCGCAGACATGTTTATATACCTTCTACGCCCCAAATCTACTCCCAGTGATCTCTCGACACGTGGTACTACTATCCCATCTGTCAGCACAAATCTTACTGAACATCACCTAACCCGACTGCCAGCCCACTCTACTGGGAGCTCAGCAGCCAGGTTACAACATCTCGACTGTCAACGGCCGTGTTGTGCAATTGGCTAGAG